GAGAGGGAAAATCAACTTCGTTTCGTTTTCATCCCGTGGTTGTCGGCATACGATAACCAACCAATATTGAGGTAAGTACAACGTTTACAAGGGATTGAAAACTGTTTTTAGAAAAGTAAAAGTGCTAAGGTGAATCAATAAAGTGTAATGAAATGGGTAGGTGCAAGTATCACTAATAAATGCATTAATAAAGGAAACTCCCTAGGCTGACAACGTTCATTTGCAATGTATAATGCTTCCTGTACAGTTTGCACTATCATGATGTTCACTTTTGGTTTTAATACATTTTTCCTTATGTCGGCTTTTTTATTTTATGCCTTTTTGTGCATTTGGTGCACAACCGTACCCTACAGAGAATAGGAATAGAATAAGTCGAATCAAATTCATAAAGAGCTATAAAATATTAGGTTTAATGGAATATAATGAGGATCAAGTAAAGACGTTATTAGAAAATAAGTGAGACAAGACATTGTGAAGTGGTATTTAAAGATCTGACAATGGATAGCAAGTTAATTTATAAGATGCCTCATAAATCTGTGCAGATCCCGCGTGGTCGCATCTCAACAATAGGCTGAGCGGATGGTATATATTTAAAGGTAGAAGCATGATCTATCAAGGCGTTCATTATTATCTTTTTCAAGATAAAGATCTAAGCCCTCATAAAGATCAGAAATATCTCGATCCTTCAAATTGCATATTGCTGTTCCTGCAGAATGAGGCAATTCATCTTAGTGACTCCCACCATATCTACTGATCAGCTAACGCCACCCCTCCCAAGGAGGGGTGGAGGATGCATTATCTATGTTAAATCTGACTGCAGAGCTGTGCACTATGATGACCCCAACCTGGATATATGTGATACATTATGGGTGACACTCCACATAAATAAACAGCAAACCCTATTATTAGGTTGCATTTATCGCCCACCCAACCATGACAGTGAACTGCTAAGCCAGATAACTGCAGCCTTCCATTACACTTCGAAATTGAACTTTACTTATAAAGTGATTGGAGGTGATTTTAACATGCCAGAAGTTTCATGGGAGCCCATCAGTGCTCCTCCCCGCTACAGCAAATTCTTAGATGCAGTTGAAATATGTGGGTGGACACAAAGTATTCTAAGGCCCACCCGAAACCAAAATATACTGGACTTGGTTTTCTTGAAAGACATCGCCTTATCTACCATAGACATCAGCCGACCATTCCCTGGTAGTGACCACAACACAGTAATCTGCGCCCTTGATACCAAGCTCCACTCATCAAAACGCTCTACCCTGCGCAAGGCATTCATGTGCTTCGGAAAAGCTAGGTGGGACGTATCTAACTCCTTCATTAGAAGCTTAGACTGGGATCTTTTCTTTTCTAATAGCAACCTAGACACTATCCTACTAGCCTTTTACCAGAATGTATCTATTTGCTTTGATAATCTTGTTCCTAAATGTAAAGAAAACCCAAGAGAAAACATAAAGAATTTCATTCCTATAAAAGTAAAGGCTAAGCTGCGAAAACTGTACCGACAGTACCACAGAGAAAACGACTTCTCATGTCTTCTAAATATACAGAACAATTATCTGGCTTTGAAAGAAAATAACGACAAAGCCCTACTCAGACAAGAACATGCAGCTCTTAAAGATAGCTCTAAATACACTGCAATCTGTAGGCTTTATCGCAAAAGGCTAAACTCCCGTAAAACGGATATACAATTCATTTTAGAAAATGGCGAAACCGCTAGTGAAACTAAAATAATTTGCGAGCTTCTAAAATCCTATTTCTCACAGTCATATACCCATGATGATAATAGGTTGCCACAACCTCTGTCAATGGAGTTGAAGATTGAACGATCAATTCATGGTTGTTTGCTCAAAACCAACTTCCCCAATTTTCGCGGAGGCATCAATACGACAGTCATCGTCTCATTGGTCGCTGTTCAGAAAGAAGAGTGAAACATCGTCAGAAACCTTACTTCGCTTATTCTTTTTATATGTTGGTGTAACAATAAAGAAATATCAAACGGCAGATCGGTGTTTTGGTTTTTGCGTCCGTTATAACTAAGCGTTTCTGAGAAATCTTCGAAGAACAGCGTGGGCCCGAGAGTAGCGAGAGCTGGGCATTAACGGTTTATGAGACGTGGCTGACAGTTTCTGACGATAGAAACATCTGGCGGTACGTTCGAAATTGGTGACATTTTTGCACGTGTTTGCTCTGAAATTTATTTACTGCTTATTGTCATATAATTCTTGAAATTATGGTCCAAATCTCTAAAAAACGTGTTCGTAGAAACACAATTGTTTTAGATAGTGGCTTAAATTCGGTTATAACTGCATTACCGCCTCGTAATACAGTATCAACTACTAGCTCTCAAAATGGTTTGAGTGCAGATCTCACTCCTGTGATACAGGTGAAAGATGTTCTGTTAGAGAACTCTGAGTTCTGTAAACTAAACCTCCTTTTGAAAGATATGCAGAGGCAAGTAAGTGAAATTCAGAAAAAATTAGATCAGTTTGATAGTATGTCACTGCCAATCTCAAATACCACGGAGAGCCGTTCTGATATTGGCCAGGTTAAGTGTTTACTGGATGTAACTCAAAATAAGCTTTTGAATTTAGACCCAATAGCCTGTCTTTTAGAAAGGCATCCTAAAATATCTCCAGACAACCTAAATAAAGCTGAAAATCTGATTGACTGCTTGGCTACGGAGGTGATGAAGCGTATAACCTCTTCTCACCAAGCTATAGTTTACAACGTCCCAGACTCTCTGCCCCTGAAAACTGTAAGACACAAAATCCTGATTTGTTGCGGCATGGCTAGTGTTCCATGTGAATGCAAACGACTTCGTAAAAAGTCTAACCAGGCTAATTGCCCAATCATTTTTAAATTCAGTAATTCCCTTGATGCTAGTAAGTTTACTAAATGTCAGGATCACTTAAGACTGAATAGCAGTTATAAGTCTATAACCGTAGCTCAGGATAAAACACCGTGTCAGCGCAGAATAATGCGTAGTAATAACCTGGTCACCTCCTCTAGCTCTAGCTTTGATTTACCAAATAAGGATCGTGCACAGCAACAGACACCTAGTGCTGAAACTAGCATTCAGCAAACTACACAACAACCACACCTGCCAATGGAACTAGGAACTGATTTAGATACCAGTACCCCTGTAAACAAAGCCTCATCGAAAGATGTTAAAATGACTAGAACTTCTGCAAGTTGTTCTAAGAAATTTCCCCCCAAACGTAGTAACCTCACCACGATGAACAAATTTCGCAGGGTTGAGACTAATGATGGGGAAGAATACTTTGTATTCAATAAGCCTGCTGAGAGTAAGAATGCCAACAAACCATCACTTGTTACGAAAAACTCCTCTCGAAACATAAGTACATCTGGAGGTGTTCCGCATGCTCCACCTTATAGAAAGTCAGGCTCCAAGACTCCTAAAGTCTTGCAGCCAAAGCACCTTCCTTCACAATTCCCTTTAAGTTATAAAAACAACCCGAAGGTGTATACCGGTATGACGAATAGCAGTTGGATGGGTAGACCTTCTGATGCTATGCCTTTTAACCGCCAACCTAGGCCCAACCTGTACTACCCTTATATCCAGGAACACATGGTAAATTTTCCAGGTGTCCTGAATCACTGGTACGACCCATGGCACCTAGGACCACCTCATTGCACACCAACTCCGATGTGCAGACACCCAGTCCGACCTCCTTTTCATTCATAAATTCTTGCGGTGCTGACGCACAAATAGATTTAGGTTATGGTGACATTTTAAGCCAGTTTGTAGTATCCCGTGACTTATTCACGATATTGCTAATTAATGCACGCTCCTTAATCAATAAGATATCTGAACTAAGGACATTATTATTAGTCGCCAAGCCTACTGTAGCTCTGATTACTGAGTCATGGTGCTCATCCTCAGTACTTGATGTGCATATAGGTATCGATGATTACACTGTACACCGTGCAAACAGAGATTGCAAGCGTGGTGGAGGATGTCTCATATATATACATAACTCATTTGTAGTCAGTAAGGTGGAAGATGAAACAATGAATAATGTACCTGACTCACTCTGGGTTGTCTTACATGGAGATAAGTACAAACTTCTCATAGGCTGTGTTTATCGAGCACCAAGCGCAACAAAAGAAACTGATGCGTTATTAGCTAAATCGTTTGCACATGCATCCTCGTTTAGTGCTAATTACAAAATAATTGCAGGGGACTTCAATCTTCCAGAAGTTAATTGGCTAACTAGTTCCGGCCCCCAACGCTTCGACGAATTACTTGCCACTATAGACTGTTATGGATGGCAACAACACGTCCAGACACCTACTCGTGGGGACAACATTTTGGACCTTGTTTTTTGTCATGACACAATCCCAGTATCCACTTATGTTGGTAATAGATTTTCCAGTAGTGACCATAGAATGGTACTCTGCTCTCTGCCTTTCTCACCACTAAATACAGGAAACAAACAAGACTCAGGAAGCACAATATGTCGTAGTTACAAATATACAGACTGGGGATTAGTCCAAGAACTTATTCGACTCTGTCAATGGGATGACTATTTTACCACTGACTCCCTGGAGGCCTTAGTAACCCTGTTTTACAGGAATGTTACCCTTTGTCTAGATACAGTTGCCCCAAATAAAATAGTGAAATTAAGTAGACACCGAACTGAATATATTCCAAGGGCACACCGTAATAAGTTAAGGAAACTGAAGAAACAGTACTATTCCACTAAGGACATATCACTATTGCTCTCAATCCACGAGTCTCTTGAATCTATCAAGCGCCTACGTTCTCAAAAGGACCTCGACGAAGAGTTAACGGCACTTGAAAGTACCTCCAAAGTTTATAACTTAACGGCACTTCTTAAAAAACGAATGCAGTCAGCGAGGGAAATCCCATACTTACTTCACGACAAAGTAATCTACAATGAACCTGCCACTATCTGTGAACTTTCAGTGATTGGTTTGCAAACTTTAGTTTAGAAACACATATGCCTGGTGAAACCGCTCCCCTTACTATCTCTTCCCTTGAAAGCATTGTGTTCACTAATCAACTAATAGTACAAGCAATTAAAAGCCTTAAACCTTCCACTAGTACGGGACCGGATGGCCTCGCTTCGATAATTTTCAAAAACAGTGGGTGTGATATACCCCTGTTACTTCTTAAATTCTTCTCAATATCTATGGACACTGGCACTTACCCTAGTGAGTGGAAAACTAGCTTCATAATTCCACATTACAAATCTGGTGATAGGGCAAACGTCCGCAATTACAGACCCATAAATATAACCCCAGTTATCTCACGAATCATGGAGAAAGTTGTAAAGGATCAATTGTCAGACTACCTAATTAGGGAGGATCTTGTTACAAGGTCTCAACACGGATTTCTCAAAAATAGATCCTGCGTTACTTGCCACTTCGACTTTTTCAACTGCATCACTAGTAATCGCGAAGCACGTAAGCTAGTCGTTGTTCTATACTTCGATATATCTAGGGCATTTGACATGGTATCTCACAGTATTCTCTTTGAGAAGCTGTACTCTTGTGGAATTCGCAACCCATTACTGAACTGGTTAAAATCATTTCTAAGCAACAGGGTACAAATAACCAAAGTTGGATCTGTATTGTCTCACCCTAGGCAGATCTCAAGTGGGGTCGTGCAAGGTAGTGTCCTAGGTCCACTTTTATTCACAGTTTACATTAACAGCATTTGCAAGTGCTTCACCTCAGGTAAACCATTCCTATATGCTGACGACCTCAAAGTCGTCTACTCCTGCTACACTCATGAATTAAGCGATATGGTAGATAAAATACATCTTGAACTAAGTAGCCTTGCAACGTGGTGTGCTGAATCCTGCCTAAATTTTAACATTGACAAATGCGGCTGGATTTGTATCGGCAACAGTAAGCTTGATCTAAACCTTGAAATAAATGGGCGAAAACTAGCTAAGCTCAATTCAGTCGTAGATCTCGGTATTAGATACTCTAGTAACCTAACGTTCGCTGAACAGACTGATTATGCCAGACGTAAAACGCGTAGGCTGATAGGATGCATAACACGCAATTTCTTTTGTTGTGAAACTAGGGTTTTATTATACAAAGTATGTGTCCGACCTATCTTAGAATACTGCCCGTTTATTCTTAGCGGACTAAGACAAAATGACAAGCTTAAATTAGAGGGAGTGCAACGGCAGTTTACCTCAAGAACTCTTGGTTTAGAAAGTAGTCTGGAATACCATGAGAGATGCGTAAGACTAAGATTAGAACCCCTCTGGAAAAGACGCCTTAAGCTAAACCTAATCTTTTACTATAAGCTAACTAATCTTCTCTTGCATTCCTCCGAGCCAATAACTAAACCTACCGCTGTCGTCAGTTACAATCTTAGAAATCATCACAACCTAGCTGCTATAGAGCACTGTCAGACTTACGTGCGGTACAACTTCTTCTTAAATAAGTTTTCAGTCATTTGGAATAGACTACCAGCTAATGTGCGCGATGCAAACACACTTCCAGTGTTCATCTCCTCAGTCACCAGACTGCTCAAAGATGACAATGCACTTATACGTCTGACTCTTACACCCTCTTTTTCACCCTACATAGATATTTTAAGTTGTTTAAACGTGTAGTTACAGCAAACTACAATTATAAATTTTAATATTATTGGAACTAGATGATTAACATTTCTACACAGGACAGTAATATTAGTTCACACATAATATAAAAGTTAGCATAACGGGACTAGTTAGTTTGTGTACCAAAATAACCACAGTTACTAAACAGAATATATATGTATATATTTATTAATCACTCCTTAAGGACTCCCGTTGCTTTCTTTTGCGTTGCTGTTGTTTGTCTTCTTTTTTCTCTCACCATTTCAGCTTCCATTTGACTTTTTGAATGAGAATGAATAATGTGGATATTTGACCATTTACAATGACAAATGATCTGCAAACATTATTGGTCCCGTATCTTTCAGTTGCCTGGTTAATAACGAATTAACTTTCTCCACGACGCAACCTGGATTACATTTGTGGAATATACTCTTATACCAATGGAAAAGTATCAATTTGTAATACAACTTCACGATTGTAGCTTATAACATAACTGATCGTATCTGTAAAAATAGCTTCCTTATTACCCAATTTGGATATAAATCAAATCAAAAATGAGATTCGGATTTGTACACACCCAGGTTATATTGAGGAATTACTTCAAGCTTTATTTTTTCCCAAGTATTTTTAATCCATCCAAAACTTACTTGGGTTTTTTTGTTAATGCGAAGACAATATTCCTATATTTCATGATGTGCTCCATTGAATGACTTGTTATATTGTGGAATAACTTCAAGCTTTATTTTTTCCCAAGTATTTTTAATCCATCCAAAACTTACTTGGGTTTTTTTGTTAATGCGAAGTCAATATTCCTATATTTCATGATGTGCTCCATTGAATGACTGGTTATCATATTGTTCCCACAGACCTAAAAAAATGGCATGCATTTTCATGTAAATTTATATGTTTATATGAGAATATACATTATTATAATTATTATTAAAACAAAAACGCCAGCAACCATGTAACTTAACCATAAACCGAATTTATGAAATTTAATTAATGCTTATCCATGCCTGTATATTTGGTGTGTCCTACACAAGTAGGAAAAAATGTGTACTTTATTAAAACATTATTATTAATTATGATTGCTAATCGTATATGTAATTTATCATATTGATGATGCCTGTAAACTGGCGTCTCTCATGTACAAAATGAGAATATACTATTATTATTATTATTATTATAACAGATTCTGGCGGATTCAGACAGTTGGTGAGAGTTTGGATAGTCACCATTCATTTTTCCTGGTGCCGGTCAAGTCCTCTTTGAACAAGCAGTATCTGGAACGTTCTTGGAATTGGGTCAAGTTCAACAATGCCTGGGTCAAAGAAGGAACAGAGTGTCTTGGATACAAACAGGAAAGTAAGTCATGGAGACTTGTCTGTTACTTGTAACGATGTGTCTGATGTTAAGCATGACATGGTTGACGTTACTGTTTCTCCGTTCAGGGATAATAGGAACATCAAACTCCCTAAATTTGAACCACGGTGTTTCAATGGAAACCCGGTCGATTATTTACAATTTGTAAAGGAGTTTGAGATCATGTTGAGTGGTTTTATATTAAATGATGAATCGAAGTTAATGTATTTGATGAGATATTGCACTGGAGATGCTGCAAGAGCTATACAGTGCTGTAAGTTTATGAAGCCGAAAGAGGGCTACCACGAGGCTATGAGCATATTACGTCAAAGGTTCGGAAGACCTTCGATGATTGCAGGGAAATTATTCGAGGCTGTTAAGGGTAATGGTGGTCAATTACAGGATGACTCCCAGGCACTCACAGAGTTTTTAGATAATTTGCTAATTTACAAGAATGGAATGATTTCGATGAATCGAATGAGTGACCTCAACTCGAGTTTTATACTAGAAGTGATAGCAAGACGTCTACCTACTCGACTGCAAAGGAAGTGGGTGAAGATAAGCTCCCGTATGGAGGATGAGGGTATCGAGCCAAGGTTTGATGATATCCTGAAACTGGTAAAAGATAGTGTCAATCAATCTATGAGCAAGTTTGCCAGTATATTGAATCTCACCCCTAGAATAGAGCAGTCTGAGGGTAAAACGCAATCATTGATGACGAATAGGCCTCATATATGTGGATATCGAGAAGGCTCCATGATGTCTAGTAATGCATATAGACCTAGTGAGTGTAACAGGTTTCGTAGTACATCCTCAACAGATAAGTTACAAGCTGCAAGACAAACACGGTTTTAATAATAATATATTTCTTCCTGTTTATGCAGGAACATACCAATTGTACAGGCATGGATAAGTTATTATATAAATTACACAAATTGATGTATGATGGATTTACAGTTTGGTTGTTCTTTCTGACATTAGAGTCAGACGGAACAGTCTGCTATAAAGTCTGTTTTTGTAGCACATAAAGAGATATAAAGATATTGTCTTCGCATTAAAAAAAACCCAGACATCAGATGAATGTAATACAAATATCTGGGAAAAAAAGCTTGAAGTCAATCCTCTTACATAACTTTGTTGTGAACAGCACCCTTGGCTTAAAGTTTATTGATGTATTATGTTGAGATCAGTGATATATTTATTCCATTTTTTCAGTAGTCTTATCGTAGTTTTATAACAGGAAAGAAATTTGATCGGGGATGCGAAAACTAGATGAGGTCATGTGAAGTTGTTTTACTGCATCAAATGGTGCTGAGGTCGGTTCCAGAATTCTCCATTTGCTCCATTTGTGTCTGCATGGCGGACTGCGGGATAGGATAGAGGCACAAATCAGCTGATTGCTGCAGTTTTAAGGCATTATCGTGGCGTTGTGTTTGGGCTATTCTACGTTGTTTTTACTGGTTTTTTCGACAGAAGTGCTCTTTAAAAATCGTATTTCAACGAAAAAACGTGTAAAAAGTGAGAAAAGTGGTCTTTTTAATGTGTTTGCAAAATGCTCTCTTTTTATGGAACTGACATACTGAGGTGCATAAGAAATGTCAGAATTTGTTGAAAAATGTCACTTATGATATAAAATGCAAAATAACTCTAATTGTTTCGGTGTATTTTACGTAAATGATTAGGAGAGAGTTAAATATCTAGGTAATTATGATTTCATTATTTTTACAAAATTTCACAGTAATAAAGGAAACTGAGTTAGTAATTTCGTCAGATAACGGTGAATAAACAGTCATTTAACTGGTAGGTATTGTGTTTCAAGTAATTTATTTCGCCCATCATTTCCTGAATGAATTTTTGTCATTTTTAATTTCCAGGTTACGGTCTTTAATCCCGCAATCACTCAATACATTTAGACATTCCAGTGGGGTTAAAAAGAATAATATTTGTGTAATTGATGAAATATTTGTGATATTATGAATGTATTTGTCGAAATAAACATTGTTTTAAAAATTTTGCACCTTATTCATACACTAATAATACTTACTGTTTGTCAAGTTGCAAAGTGATGCTAGCGTAGAAGACATAATATTGGTAAAGTGCCATATTTACACCTGGTTGAATTTAGACACGATGGGGGTACTGTTATCGCTTTCGCTAGTAAACCTTAAACAGGCGATATGCACAACAAAAGCCTATCTAATGCGTTACAGTATTTTATGATAACAAAGTAATCAATCAAATTTAGTGACGTAATCAGCTAATGCACGAGTCTGAGTGTTAATGTGATCATGTAAGAGCCTATCGATACGAAATGATAGCACAAGAAGAGTAATGCAGTTATCTCTTTATTACGCAATGATTTCCTTTGAGGTAGTGGTGTTAAACGCAACATAAGAATAGCAGGCTATTTGTGATAAATAGGATATACTTTGCATAGTGCGCATGAAGTGCCTAGACTACCACTACAAGTTGTGTACGTATAGGACCTATATTTGCTAGGTTATGTTTCGTTGTTACACATGTTTGACGGCTACTTTCTTAACAATCGCGAATACCAATATTATACGCAACTGAAACGCTTTACGCAAGGCTTAATGATGCATTGAGGAAATAGTAATACTTTAAGACTGGCGCATTTCACATAAGTATTAATACGTTGCCTACCATATTCTCGTTAACTCTGCAATGTCCTCAAAATGATAAGTGAAAGAAACAAAGTTAGTCGACATAAATGCATATATTTGTAAGGAAAAAATAATCAATCAAGTTAAAAATGACTCAGAATAAAAGAGTACATGTATACACGAAAGAGAGTTAATAACAATCCAGTGAAAAAATCGCAGTTGTAGAGCTTTTTTATAGCTGCATCATAGACATCACAAAGTCCACCAAACACTCTATCCACGACATCTGTATCAGTTTGCCTCCGTTGTTAGAGGTGTTGAACCAGTCTTTGCAGTTTTCGTCACCACCAGATCCGTTCGCAGAACTCTGCTTGCAAGCAGAGATTGAGATTATATTCCTTCGAATGCCTTCACCCATATAGAGAAAAATCTGAGGATGTATACATATCAGGTAAATTAATCTTACCTCTGGTGAACAATTCCTAATCTTAGCCACACTGAATATGTGAACAAAGCAAAGAACAACCACAGAGTTGGTGAAATTCCATAGATTACTCGTCCATATATTCCACGATATATTTCAGGAATTGTGTAACTTCCAAACCACCTGTCACATTTTCTCTTCTGTAAAAAGCAAATATTATACACGTGACTCTTATCCATCCGTTACAATTAACTGAAAGAGATAAAATCCTCAAACTTTATATTTCTTTGATCAAGTTACCCAGTAGTATTCTCCTTGTAAGTGGATCTAATGCTTCTCACATCTGTGAAATTTATAAGCATGTTAACTTGGTCCCTTAAGCTAAAAAATATAATGTCTATCCGCTTTTATTATTGCTATTTCAAAGCCCGCTTCAGTAACGTAAGGCACGTATTAGCCGCAACGTTTACGCAAGGGAAAATCTACCAATCACAGCGTGCATAAGTGACCTTGAAGTGCTCAGCCTCTCCATAAGCCATTTGTGCCGCTATCCTATCTCGCGGACTGCATTCGTAAGTTCAGAAAAATGTTGAAAACTG